CCCCCCCCCCCATTCCCCTAGTAAGAAAATGTCACCACAAGGGGTGGGAATGGGGACCAAGAGGTGTTCCTTAATAAACTTCAAATCTTCTTACAACTAATTTTTTTCGTGCTGATTTTATACAAAAATGTTTTTCTAGATTAGCCCGATATTTTTTAATAGGTTATAAATCTAAAAAGATAGTTCTAAAGAAGCTTTTGATAGAACAGTACCTTTAAGTATAAGCAATCCGCTAATGTTTTAGATGATCCTTAAACAAATCCGTTTCCATGGAGAACACTGGCTTTAAGTAGAATCGATGTCTTTATCCTGTCCTTGAATGCATTTAGTTTGGTTGCAAAGGCAAGTATCTTCCTCTAAGAAGTGTACCACCTTTACGAGACATTTGGATTACCGTAGATACTTTTAATCACGGCAAGAAATAGTATGAAGACTGAACTTTGGTTCTAGTGTTGAACAGTACTCGAGTTGTCTGCATCTCGTGACGATATAAGCCGCTTTCTAATTAACTTCTGTTTGTTTTTCTGAGTTAAGGAATTTTGTCATCTCTTTTCCTGCATGTAAATTAGCTTGGTCAGTCAATGTAATGTCACTTCATCGACTGACGGTCAATATCAGAGATACTGCACGTCATTACATTAATAGCTAGGTCAATATCACAGAATTAACTGTATTTCTAGTTAGCAATTTGTTCGACCTCTGATAGTGTCATTTGTATGCTCAATAATTCCTATAATGCTTTTAGAATGTCGGAAGTAGCAGAGGGGTAACTATAGTTCATAGTAACGTTTTAGTTAAGGGATCGTCGGTTTGAGAGAGAACTCATTTCTCTCTACTTTCAGTCTCTTCTTATATTGATCAGGTCAGCAAAAGTAAGCTGCCGACTGTCATATATCACAAAACTATGCATATGGAATATAGACTTTAGTATTCAGCGCGCATGAGCGGACGTTTTGTTATAAGTCCATTGGGGCAAAGGAAGACACTTCCATTGACTTTCTTTCACTTTCAACATGTCACTGAGGCAAAGGTCTCTTTCGCAAAGTCCATTTTCTTGTAACTTGGATTAAAATGAGAACTTTAAATCAGTTGTCGAACTTGTGATTCATCTTAAAGGCAACTTCCTATCACGTGACTTTTTTGAAGGCAGTTCTATTTCCGGCTATTAGATCAAAAGTTAGGGCACATTGCAAAAGTTAGGATTTTGGGATCTCTTTTTAAATATCATAATTGAAGAAAACTCACAGACCACGTGTTACACCCTCGAAGTTATATTCTGAAGCGGAAGACACGTGGTCTAAAATGGGAAAGAGCTATGTTGACTCTTATTCGGAAAAAGTATTAGCTATTCAGAGGCCGAGGTAAAAACTGAGTTGAGTTGTCATAGCAGTGCATTGTGGGACTGTTTTAGGAGATATATTTCCAATTAAGATGGCGTCTATTTCCAGTTCGTCCCCTAAAACAGTCCCACATTGCGCATGCACTGTAATGCCAATTCGACCCAGTCTTTGCGGTTAATAAAACTGACACAGCAAACCCGTGATGCAAAAAAAATAAATAAAATAAAATAAAATAAATATAAAGAAAAATACGAGTGAGCTTTCCTTCAGTTATTACAACACTGAATAATTTAATTACAGTTAATAATAACTTGATTTTAATATTTATTTTAATCTTTAAAACATTGATTATTCCTCAGAAGCGAGGGTGGTGTAGTGGTTATGCGGCTCGCCTCTCACCTCTGGAGTCTTGGGTTTGATTCCTGTACAGGGCATCACATGTGAATAGAGTATGTTAGGTCTCTTCTTTGAACTCTTGATAATGGGGCGAGGTCAAAATTATGGTCAAAATAGGGACCTGGTTTTATGAATTAAGGTGTTGGGTATAGGTACATATCCCCTCCCCCCTCAGGGACCTGTCAAGATGCTCGATACTGGGGGATCCGTAGTGGCAATTTCTATACACAAATGTGTTTTTTAGCATACATGAAGACAGACAGTTCATTCATTTCTGTGATTTGGCTTTTAGTTTTGGAGATATTTGGGAACAAAATCTAAGATTTCTCACTTCCAGAGGTGATGGGTACCGGGTAACACCAACCCTCCCGTGAGATCACAACTTTTTTGCCGTCATCATGAAAACATTAAAAAAAAAAATATTTTTTCACTCCCACTTACTAAAAAAACGTATAATTATTCCTCTTGCAGAATCAAGGGTAAAGTAGCGTTATGCACTTGCATGATCTCACCTCTGGGGTCTCGAATTCGATTCCTGGACACGGCATCACATGTAAGTAGAGTATGTTAAGTTTCTTCCTTAAACTCTCACATACTGAAAAAAAATTGGAAATTTTTTGACTCCCCACTCACTATCTATTTTTCCATTTGCTCGCATAGCTGACCAGAAATCAAACAAACTGTCAGTTATATATTCCCATGATTGTTGTTAATATAAACTTTAGGTTCCTGGCTTTATAAAGTCTTTCACATGTTATTTTTTTCTTTACGTTTTTTTCTGCCTTTCATAACTGTAACATTTAACTCAGTGAATTGGCCTTAATTATGCATGAGTTTGAAAGTTAAGTTCTGGCCATGTTCTGCCATTTATAATCAACATAACTTACTTGATTAATTATATCCCTAATCATATCCTTTTTGTAATCACTATCAAATCCTGCAATCTGATTGGTTCAAAGGAGTGCGATTAATTCCCAAATTGCATCCTTAGGAGCTCTTAATCGCATCCTAAAAAAATTTTTTTTTTTAAACAATAAAATAAAACAAAATAAAACAAATAAATCAACAACAAAAATATTTTTGGATGTTTTTTTTGTTCTCATTTAGTTCTTCTACTACATTAAAATGATTATTCTGCACTCTTTATTGTATCTTTTTCTTGTGTATGATTACAAAAAGGATATGATTAAGTATGCGGTCGTGCGATTTTGTAATCGCGCGTTTGATTTCAGACCAAATTGCACTACACTCAGTTCCATTACCATCATAAATTGTACCCTGTAGAGTCCCAATTAAGTTGCTCAATTTTATTGAGTGTATTACCAAACAAAAAATCTTCTCGTACAATTCAGAATGTATAGATACTCGTGATGTTTTTAATAGTTATCTAATTAGATTCACCTAAAGGCTCGCCCAGTTTTCAAAACATCACCAGTAGCTATAAATTTCGAATTGCACTCAAGATCGTGCGATTTCCTATACTAATATAGCTATTTCAAAAACAGGCTGTCGGAGCCAAATGAAATAGGAAATAGGCGAAATAGGAATCATAGATACACCGTCTAAACACTAACAGTCAATGTGTTTTACTAATGGTTTCGTTGCATTGACTACATCTGAAACTATATATCACACCGATAATCCGTGTTCCTCACAAGGATAATAATAAGAAGCTCAAGTTATTCCAGCTATTACTGGATCTTGGAATGAGCCATCTCCCATCGCTTATTGTCTAAGTGACTGCTTATGGCCTTCAGCTCCAACTGGCCAAGTTGGAGTGCAACTTGTTTTGAAATAGGTACTATATATAACTCAGAGAGATCGCGTTCAAGAGAACCTAACTCGGATCTTGGAATTTCCGCGAGAATAAATAAAGTAAATCACTCTGTCAAAATCTCCTATAAAAACAATCCACAAATATATACAAATTATCATCATATTGCTTGCGAATTACTTGCGAATGGCACACAGAGGTCAGATTTTTGGAAGTCTCACTTCGATATAGGTCTTCGTTGTCTTATTTTCTTGAGGAGCCTTGAGTCTACGTTGCTTTCGGCTGCCAGTTTCCTTTCGCGTGTAGCGTAGAGTTTCTGGAGAAATTGCTGGCAGTTTCATAAATGAATTACTTGGATGGAAAACCTCTATAGAAGACGATGTTTCATTGGATAATGCTTGGGTTAAAATAGTATTTGCTACGAAGGGAGCAACGAGACGTCTTGGAGTGACCTCTAAATCAGGAAACTCTAGAATCTGTCTACGAACGATAGCGTTTCTCTGGTTTAACAGAGAACAATCTGCACATGGACCAATAACATCGCAGTATTCTCTCCCAAAAATACAATTCGGTTCTGTTGGCTTTTCATTCAGGAAGAAGCGGATTTTGGATTCCTCGTTTAAGAATCCGCCACACTTCCCACATCGGTTATTGCGACTTATCTTCTGATTTGAAGCAATGTACTCTTTGTATTTCTGCATGCTTTGAGGGTGCTTCTGTTTCGTCCAGTATTGAATTCCTCCAGACAGTTTATCAGTTAATTTCTGAAAGCTTATTTGTTGACTTGCCTTAATTTGTGAACGCTTAGGCTGCCATTCTAGTCGCTGCTTTGAAGTGATAAGACTAGATTCTTTTTCCGCCAAGGAAGGACAATTCTGTTTCTCTTTATACGGCATTCTTCAATCAGAATATCATCGTTTTGACTCGAAGACCAGAAGCATTCCAAAAGCAATTACAATGTCGTACGACTCTCATAAAATTAATTGGTAGTAATTACGCTAAACGCTGTGTATATTCTCTATCTCTACACATTTCTGATCTTTTCCTTGCCATTTTGGAACTTTCAAGTAATAGTCTAAATCAACATTGAATATTTCTGGTCTGGAAATATAACGATTTGCGGTAAAAATCTGGTGCGATCGTTGAGTGTTTACAGTAATTCCAAATTAATCCTCGTGCTTGACAACTGCTTTCTGTGATATTTGTTAACCTAATGAGTTCAAGGTGACAATAGAAATGATCATTGATGTAAGTGATTCTTTTGTTAAGCTATTATTTACAAAGATGTGATTGGCTGCTTTGCGGAGCTAGGCTCCGAATTAAGTACGACCAGATATATATGATAAGCTAGCATATAAAACAATAATATATCGTAATGAAATTTGTTTCAAAAGCTTATTTCTTGAGATATTTGAGAAAATTAAGCCCAATTTGTGACGTCATTTTGTTGACTCGTACTCTAGATTCGGTAGTAATGTACTAAATATAAATTGTAACTCTTATAAAATAACAACAAAAGGTATATTATATTCTGCTTAATTTGGTAGCTTACGTAGTACTCTTAATAATAATAATAATAATAAACTTTATTTCAACTGATRAGACCAATCARSTATCTAARAAGATTARCTGGTATTAACTGGTGATCAGCATAATAAATATATARTAATAAAATCTAAAGTCTAAACTACAATACAATATCTAAAAAATCTGTATATAAAAGAATAAATAAATAAAAATATAAATACATCTAAGACACATATATATAAAACTAGACTAAATAATAAAATACTATACTTATCTTAAACTACATGAATGGGTAGACTCATCATATTCAAGAAAATATTTAAAAACACTAGACTTGAACTTAGATAATGATTGTATTTCACGAATGTCCCTTGGTAAAAGATTCCAGTCCCTAGCAGCAGCACATTTAAAAGTCGTTTGACCCATTTTGGACTTAGTCGCAATGATATCTAATAATGTGGAATCTCTAAAGTTCCTATTATGTTGGGAAACTGAAAAGTGTACTCCCTGAAATTAAGATTCTACATTCAAACATATTTCGTACATTTGCAACTAAATCTGGAGACTTGTAAACAAAATGACGTCACAACTTGTGCTAAATTTTCTTAAATTTCTAGAGAAATACGTTTTTGAAACATTTAACCTTGATCGATTCTTATTAATGCCAATAAACTGCACATTTTWAAGATTAAATTCTTTTCGTGTCATATACACTTTAAGCAATTCACATCACTTACAGTCAAACCACCTCAAGCGTGAACACGACGTAGAGGTCATGGATGACTTTATTTTTTGATTCTCGATTTCATTATTCGATTCTAACATTCATTATTGAAAACAAAGTCGAATACAGCGTATTACATGCGAGTAAAAATCTATCGATTGTTTGTTTGTTTGTTGTTGTTGTTGTTGCTCACTAGTTGCTCACTAGGGTGGTATTGGTGGCGTAGTGGTTAACATCTCGCCTCTCACCACTGTGGTCCGTGTTCGAGSCATGGCTCAGACTGGATCATATGTGAGTTAAGTTTGTTTGATGTGTTGTTCTCTCATATGGCACGGGGGTTTTCTCCGGGATCTCCGGTTCCCTCCCTCCGTAAAAAGTAGCATGTGAGTTGAGTGTTGTGTGTTGTAAATATAGGATGTAGTGGTAGTGCGTGTGGAGGGAACCTCACGGAAGAGCCCCGCACGGGGAGTGGTGGTCGTAAAAATAAGTTTTAAATATAATTTTTTTTAGTTGAGCGACAACCACCCACTAAAGAGTGAAAACTTCGACTTGAAATAAGTCTAAAAAGCGCGTAACTCAAAAATAAGGTTCAATCCGTTGGGTTCGAGTTACGTAACTCGAGCTTGATTTCAACGATGTTTGTCATCGAGTTACACACAGATGTCAAAATGAGTGTGGCCTTAAAAATATGGGTGTGTGCGAGCGCGTAACTCGAGAAGTTTGTAATGTAACTCGAGTTTTACCTTCCCTCGTTATACGTGCACCCTTTCGAGTTGCTGCATTATCGTAGTGCAAGGATTTGTTGAACATAACCTGGAAGGATGGAGCAGAAAGTACGTTTCCAAATATTTGGTTACGAGGCTCTGTACGAGATCCGAAATTCTTTGGTGCAAACTACATGTATAATCAAAAATCCTACACGGATTTCGTCACCACTGAATCTCCCATTGTTCACGCCGAAAAACTTCTGGAAGTGAGGACGTTCTTGTCGAATGGGCAGGCAGATCATCATAGCAGTTTCAATACTTCCTGGCTTCAGGCTCAAGACTCCAACAACAACGAGCAGCTCATCAAGAAACCTAAACTACTTTTGTGGGATGGTAGCTTTAAATTCCCAGTCTACCACTATTCCGAGAGAATGAAGACTCTGGGAAGCTGGCTGTCTGATTTGACTCAATAGAGTGTGTTCACGGCAGCCATGTTGGTGCCAGAAACAATGCAATATTTTTGCATGACAAGAAAACTTATTTCCCACGGGAAAAAAATTCTTTAACCAACCAACATGGCTGCCATGAACACACTCTATATACGGAGTGGCAATCTTTCAAGGGGTGCCCCCAAATGAAGAAGATTTGAAGGAAATACTTCACTGCGTTGGTCAAGAAGCGCAACGCAATCATCCARCTAATGCACTTGTTATAACGGCAGACAAGAACAAAGAAACGGATGTGGATAATAACATCTACACTTCGGAACAACATCCCGTGCATGTCGACACTACTTATTTTGAGACGATGGTCATGTTATCGTGCTTAGTCAGCACACACTATTCTGCCCCTGAGCAGGACACTTTCAATTTCTTCGTAGATAATTTGAAAGTCATCGAGGACATTCGTCGGGAAGAACCTGAAGCATTCGAGCTGCTTAGAACAGTTCCAGTACGCATTGTAGCAAGGCGAAGGTTGACGGTTCAGAAAGATTGCGACCCTGCAGAAGTTTATTTATATCAATTCAATTCAATTTCAATTCAATTCAATTTATTATCACTTTTCAATTAGAATACTAATTACAATATAACACGCTCCCGCATACAGCTGTATAGCTAGTCTAGGCGGGTTTGTGGAGTTATACGAAATTAATTACTACAAAATTAATATAAGTTTGATTTCTAGCTCAGTATTACAGTGTATTCTCTCTATTGTCGTATTYTTACTAGACTATTTACATTAAGATATTTGATACATGTATTCATTTTTACAAGATGGATTTTATGAATTTAATTAGTTAGATTATATTAAAGATATTAGATATTATTACTATTATTTTCTATTTGGAATTTGGAAGATCGATATCATATCCTGAATGGGACAGGGAATAAAGAAGAGATTGTTTGATATTTTTGTTTAAGTTTCTTTTATTTTGAGTTCTTATAGAATCAGGTATTTGGTTCCACGATCGGACACCAAGGTGTGAAAAAGAGCGTTTTTGAATTTCTGTTCTGGAATATAAGCCTTTTCATAGTTTAAGAATCGTTTCCACTGCGTATGCGATTTTATCCCGAATTTCTCACCTTCTTTTGTCTAAACCTTCTTTTGTTCTTAATTAAACAAAAGAAGATGAGAAATTCGGGATAAAATCGCATGCGCAGTGGAATCGATTCTTAAACTATGAAAAGGCTTATTGAGAATGTAGATTTTTGGAGGTCGATGACCTCGTGTTATAGGAATGTGCCGAATCGATAGAAGAAAATAAACTACAAATATCTGGAGGAGCAGAATTGGATACAACATCATACATTAATCTGGCTGTTGACTCTATGAAATTGAATGAGATAGGGAGGACATCAGCTTCTGTAAATAAAGGTGTGGCACTATCTCTCATATTAGCAGAGTATATCCACCTTAATGCTTTGCAAATGCAAATACCATAAGAAAGATAAGGTTGAATATGTGCTTTATACATCATCAATAAAGTAGGAGAAGCAATATAGTATCTTAATTTGGCAAATAACCCAATCGTTTTACTAATTTCATTGCTGATATAATCAATGTGAGGTTTCCAAGTAAGGTTTTTATCAATTAAGAGACCTAAATACTTAACAAATTGCTTACTGTTAGTGCTAGATTGGAATTTACACATTTTTCCCGTGCGCACTTTTCGCCTTTGTATTCAGACCTTAAATATGTACGTAATTTATAGTAAGTTAAGTTCACTTCAGCTCAATTAAGTTCAGTTCAGTTCAACGTCGACCGTCTTAAGCTCACATCGTTTTGTAAGTAATTATTCCTATTTCTTTGCTTTCCTTTTGCTTTAATCGTTTTCTGTTTTATCGTTAAATTGTAATCTTTCCTTTATTAATAGGAACTCTAACGTGATGAATAAAACGTAAACGACGAGTAAAACGTGTGTATTTTTTAACCGCCATACCGCATCAATACTTACTTTCAAGCAAATACTTACTATCATTTGTCAGTTTTTTTCTGTAATGATGAAAAATGACAAAATTAGATTTTTTAAGATTAAGAGTAAGTTTATAGTGCAAGCCATTCTTGGAGAAGTAGCAGCTGATCGTTTATAGTAGATACAAGTGTTTTGATATACCGATTGGCATATAATATCGATATTAGTATCATATCAGGAAACGGTTGTTACTGAGGTGTCTTATATCCTGTGACAACAAAGAGAATCCGCATTTGATGTTATATTTTTCGAGTGCGTCAAGCACGGATCGACTTCAGCACTTTGAAGGATCATCAAACCATGAAGAGATATTACGAGGCTTACAAACTGCTGGAGACGGCACATATGTGGATAATATTCTTCACCATTCGAAACAATCTTTATTACATATCTTTATTCTTAACGTTCGTGTTGGATTAGTCTTGGCTGCGAGGGTCAGACATTTAAATTTTTTATAGTTATTTCGGTCTTTGCAGTCATCCCTTTTTTGATAGAAATAGTGATACTTTTGGTTAAGCCAAGACTAGAGATTAGAAAAGCAGTAGTTTCTGACAATTATTACTTTCTTGGAGCTTGATCCTTCTTTACACATTGTTGGGGAAAATCTTCAGTGGCTCGTCCGAGAGTAGCTGTATCTGTCCCCAGCTAATTAGCCTCACGATTTGTCTTAGAAATTCCAACAATTTTTTTCCGAAATCCTAACAACCTTTTCAACTCAGTTGTGAACCTTTGACAACGGAATGGATAAAGAAGGGGATTGAGACAAGAGTTTATACCAAAGCATGACAGCACAACAGCATTCCAATAGATCAGTTTAAGCACCCAATTTTCGGTGTTGTTTATCGTGAGAAATTGCCCTGCGACACTTGGAACCAGAAGAAATACAACGTTGCTTGAAATCACGAACATGATTCGTTTGGCAAGTCTTCCTTCTCGTTGGATCCCAACATCAAGACTCGCTTTACGTACCTCGTAGAAAATACGGATGTAGAGAATATAGGAGCTGACGTAAACGATTGCGCCGACATACCCAATGTATGAAGTGTAGTACTCTCCATTAGGGAATCTAGGGCTGGCGCAGGAATAGTCGAAGAAGAATGGTCGTATCTTTAAAGCGAAAGGCAGAGAGCTTACAATGATTGCAATAACCCACATGATGATTATAAGCACCTTTGCATTTGTAAGACTGATTCGAACGTTTGGCTTCATAATATAGACGACGCAGATATATCGATCTACCGTAACAAGAAAACCTGCAGTCATACCAACGCACCAAGCTACCTGGATGAGAACAGAAAGGCTCTCGCAATAGAAAGACGACTTAAGGTCGTGATACTCGGAGCTAGACATGGAACAATACAAGGATGCCAGGATAACAAGATACAGTCCCTGTAAAAAGTCTGCCACCGATAACTGCCAAATTAAAAGCATGTCTATGTTCTTCCTCAAGCTTGGACTTAACAGAATCGTTGTTATGACAATAGCGTTGATAACCATGGCGACCAACCCTATTACAATATTATGTATTACCCACTTAAGTTTTTGGTAGCACAGGTCGATCAACTTGATAAAATAATATAAAGATCCTAAGTGTGATTGACGGGTTGGATCACAGAGAGGGCTGTCAGATTTATGGTCTTGACATTTAATTGAAAATTTCGAGCCCCAAATAGCAGTAAAATTATCAACGAAAGAAAACTCCACTTCAAAACAAACGTATGTAGTAGAAGCTACTCTGGCCCCTGTGCCTTGTACGATGCTCTCACGTTTATGTAGGTCGCAACGTATACAGTGTTTTAGATGTGGAATGGTATAAGATGCTATACCCTTGATGACTGTGATATTTGGAAGGTCCCGGATGTGTTGGCCTGGTGACCATGATGGATTTCCTGTGACGTCAAGTTCTGATAGGGAAGGCAGTTGGTTGGTGATGTCCGACGTGTTCCAGGTTAGCAATGCGTTGTAGCTTATATCTCTGAAAGTTAGTAAACAAATATATCTAATGGCGCAGTTTGTATTACGAAAACTTTATAGCACTATTACTACATCTGGCGAAACCACCAGCTCCGAATTGTCCCTTTTTCTGTTCCTTGCCCCATCTTGAAAGGTAGCCGTGCCTTGGCATGGAAGCGATATGAACGGTGAGCTTGCAATGATAGAGACCTTTTTAACACCTTGGACAATTATTCAGATGTCTCTATCATTGCAAGCTCACCGTTCATCTCGCTTCGATGCAAAGGCATGGCTACCTTTCAAGATGGCGCAGGGAACTGTAAAGGGGACTATTAGGATCAATAGACCTCTTTAAATTTGACCTGATGTTTTCCCATTTCAGTCCACGCCATTCTCTTGAGAATAAGATTCATTGTTTGAGTTGTATCGATATTCATGTGTCTTCTCATGTGCAACCGTTAAACAAAGAAATGATACTCTAGAGAATGACAAGTGGTCTGAAATGGGAAAACATTTACATAACGTTTTTTATTATTATTTCAGAATGGATTCTTTACTTACAGCAATTTGAGTGTCGACAGTCCATTAAATGCGTTCCCAGACATATGGTGTATGTTGTTATATGCAAGATTGGGGCAAAGATAATTGTTGAACGGTTTTGATCTGCAGTGGAGCAGTGTATTGGCCACTTTAGAAACGAGTGAAGGACTGGGAACAAGTATATAGAAGGTATTTATAATTAATTTTATTTAAAAATATTTCCATGACGAGAAAGAGTACATCAAAATTAACGGGTTTCTGCAGTATGGCTTCGATTGGCTAAGTAACAGCTAAATTATAAGCAACTCCTTCAAAAACATCAAAAGTTACGAAGAAATGTTATGTTTACTACAAGCATCCCCAGTAAACATACATACGTCTTTGTAATTTTTGTGATGTTTGGGAGGTTGCTACACAAAAGGTATGGAACCCAAAACCTTGAAACTCCAGAAATTTAATAATTTCGATGTACACTTTCTTGTTATGATGTTTGTTTTTTAACTAGGTCAAATCTAAAAACTCGTTCTTAGTCCTCAACTCGTTTTCTAAAGTGGCCAATTGGATCTCGTATAGGAGTGGAACATTACTGGTCGTACTATACTTACAATTTTACAAGTCTTCTATATCTGAAGAAAGCTGCATCTTCTATGTTGGTAAGTCGTTCTTTAAGTATCCCTTAAAGAAAGCTGCATCTTCTATGTTGGTAAGTCTGTTCTTGGAAATATCCCTTTAAAATGAGAATTACCACCATGAATTGGGTCTCTTACAATTCCACCATTGACTGTAAGCCCTTGGTATACAGTCAATTCAAAAAACGTTGTCGTCAACCATCTCAAGCCTACGCGACTGAACCGAAAGGAACTCTGGGTAGCAATCATTGAAGCCGAGTTGACTGCAGTAATTTTATCTGACTAGTTATGCCTGGTTTACAGCACGAACCTTCGTAGGCGAGCGGGAAGTGTTGAAGGAGACGTTTTTTAGTGCCTTCATATTTTTGGAAATTGTGAACTGAATCATAACTACTTTGTTTTTCTTTCCCTAAACCCGAAGACATGCATTTAATGGATTGTTTTGTCGCCATTATTATCTTTACTACTAGCGGGAACAATTAATTCAGAACGAATATTTAACCGCTTCATTGATTTTTACCCATATTCCTTTCGGTCCAGTCGCGTAGGCTTGAGCCGGTCGACGACAACGTTTTTTGAATTGACTGTACACCGTTCTCATAATGACTGAGCCACCAAAACGAGGCCGCCCAGTCATCTTGCAAGGCAGAGCAAGGCTGCTCGTTCAAAATAAAGGTGGATAGCGCGAATTCAGGTCAAGACAAAAGGTCAATTTCTATACTTTTCATCAATAAACGCATTACACGTGCTTTTATATGTTTTATTGTGAACTAATGACTGGGTGACCTCGTTTTCGTGAACGGTGTATAAATAAAGGTTTAAACACTGATATCCAACTATATCTCAAGTCTCTCTCGTTTAAGTTACCTGAAAAATATTATACACGAGATGACTACTCTTCTGCATTCGATCAAAAACATTTCTACGAATTTAGGTCGATGGCATTTTATTGAATAAGTTTTTAAACTTATTCAAAAAGAAGGCTCAAAATATGTAATATGAAGAGTGTGACCTATAAGGATTCTATTAAGCCAGCGGTTTGGTATGTGTACTTCAAAGCACGTCACAGTTTTGTTGCGTTCTACTCAATAGAGCTGGTACATGTTACGTCATTGCCGCCATCTTGGTTGACGATAACAAAGCATTCCTCATTAGCTTCTCTTGTTAGATCATCCAACATGGCGGCTGTTTCATTGTTATTCATATCTCAAGGGATTTTGAGTCACGTGGTTGCACTCTATAGGACACTTACGTTATAGCTTCATAAACTACAATTACCAGAATCCCTTGTACATATTATTTCGAACAAATTGGAATAAGAACGACAATCAATAAAGAAAAATTCGTAAAAAAGACCCTTGTGCACTTTCTTTCGTTCGTTCATAAGCACCAATTTTCTTACTTTAGTCATGATGAGAAATAAATTTGAATAAGAAATAAAATTCGCGATGAAGAAATGACGATATCATGCAACGGCCTGTTATAACACAACTTACAAGCTGTAGACGATTTCGGGGCAGGGAACAAGTTGGTCCAGGTCAAGGTGCGTCATGTTCTTAAGTCTACAGTTCACCATAACATTGGAATTGAAATCACGTGACTGAATGCAGCAGTTTTGTCCGATACAGGTCTTGTTCACGTGATAGTCATATGGTATGGTTGTGTCAGCCAGCGCACTCGTCAGTCCACTGATAAAGAATGTCATCACAATTACTAGAGACATTACCTGTGAAAAAAGTTAATGGTTGTAAGACAATATAGCCCAATAAGATGATATAGCCCAATAAGACGATATAGCCCAATAAGACGATATAGCCCAATAAGACGATATAGCCCAATAAGACGATATAGCCCAATAAGACGATAT